GTATTTAGTTCAAAGACTATGTGTTAATGATTGTCTTGCTGGTTTTCATCTTGATAAGAACGCCCTCGTTAGGGGCCAATAATGAAACTTTGAAAACAATAGACAAAATTATATATCTGGAATGTCGTCGGAACAAGAAATATCATCACTCACAAGAGACTAGACATCCCATACAAAAGGCAAGAATTTTCCACTCTTGACTCTGAGATTAAAACTATAAAGAATCCATGAATTTCAAGACGTAATAAAAATGACATACCTAAGACATGTAATGCGCAATAAACCGTAAGGACAACCGTCTTTCAATAAAAGAACGCTGGACCAAGGTGATTGGTCAACATCCACCGACTCTAACAGAAGAAGAAGTTAATTAAAAAAGAGGTCGAGATTTTAAAACGCAACGTTGTTTCCTAACATTCAATCGATCGAAATTATCTTTGCAATACGAAGCGGATTCACGAGGATGGGGAGTAACGGCGGCAACAGCGCAATCCGTGACGTTGTCGCTATGTCGTCCCCGGCAATTATGTAAATATCTCGCGGGTTTTATGGGTGGCACGGGACTGTTAATTGCCCGAACGATCTTCCTCTTTGGTTTTTCGATTGCGCTCCGCCGGAACGGAATTTGCAGCTATTTTGAACGATTTAAAACGCAGGTGATACCGTACGTTAATCTTTCAGTACCAAAGCTTGCTTAAGAAAACAGGAATTGGACACTGTCCCGCATGTGACTCGGCTATTTCATGCCTTTGACCATTTTCATAACATCAGACATATAACTAATTTTAGATTGCCGCGGCATAAAACTGCAAATTTTCCAAAGTCGTTCGTTGTTCTAGTAATTTGAATGTCATACCTAAATTACAAACAAAAACAGAACTTTCACAAAAAAATATAAAAAAATATCTTTTGCTGGAACACAGTGTTATGCCCTAAAATAAATGCAGGTTTTTTTTTCGTGTATACTATTACTATGCTTTTCTGTGGCTCCCTCTCGGTCCAAATGTGTGCGCGTCTCCTCCCTCCAATGAACGAAGTTATATTTAATTACATCTATATAAATTTTTTGTCTTAGTTTATAAAAATATTTTTCTTATACTTACAATATGTAATTTTTCATTTAATACGAGTCTGCACACCTGAGGTGTATGTTCAGTTCCTGTCTTATCTTTTTGTTTTATAATCGCTATATAGTTATTTTTGTGAAGGAAGTGCAGTGTAGACTAACTATTGTTTGTATGTAGTCTGGTAAATAAAATAGTTTGATTGATATTTTAGAAAGTTGACTGGGCACGAAGAAGACCCTAGTGCCTTGCACACAAAACAACTTCCGTATAACTTTTTGTTTGTAAAAAAATGCTTCGATAACTTAATTTCAAAGCCTCTCTCCGACACAACAATAAACAAAATCTTAAGTTAAATTCTAAATAGTTTTGGTTAGCTATATACAACTAAACGTATATTGAATTTTAAAGTAAGAGAAAAACTCTGACATCCTTTGTACTATCTATCCATAAGAACGCATTACAGGAAATTCAGAACACGTCAGTTTCGTTTTCCACGGATCCGAGCCACTTCGGACATTTCCGAGATTTTACCGCACGGGCTTGGGAGCAATCGGATATTTTCGGAAATTTAACCGCACGGCTTGAATTTTGACGTCAGTCAATTCTGATGATAAAGTCAGTGAATATATTCGTGTTGTTTTGCAAAAATGTAGAAAAAGTATGGTATGCAACACGTTTGGTAACCTTTTTAAATCACTCGTTTATTAATGCCGTTTACCCCATAATATACTATTACCAATACAATGGAAGGATCGTTTAGTATTTCGGTGGATAAAATTGCTAAAATGCTGTTTTAGCTATAATGCGATTAAACTTTATAATAATTATAACAAATATTTTGAATCGTGGGTTCAGTTCTAAGATTTGGGAAAAAATCCTATTTGTTGGAATTACAAAAGTCTCTGTAATAAATAAATTACTATTCAACAATAATGACGTTGAGACTCCTATTATTATAGCTTGTTACCCTCTTATTATAATTTTTCACAATAATATAAAATATTTCAAAAAAATCGATTATTGTTATCATTATTATGCATCTAAATATACTACTTTGATCCTATTTAACCGTTTCCGTACCTTTAATGGTTTAAACATGTAGTGCCAACGAAAAAGTGGCCACCATGTGTATGCTTATGCATGCTAAATGCTGCAGTCAACGGTGAAGCGGGTATTGTCTCGCGATATACAGAACAAGCATATTATCAGGGCTCCTGGTAAATTTATTACGCAGTGGAAGGTTTTAATAATAAAATAAAGGAAACAACGAAAAACCACTGCTTCGAAAGTAAAAACATTCCATACCCTCATTCTTTGCCTGATCTGGTTACACAATCATTAAAGATTAGTAACGAGCAGCAACCTTCTCGTGTGATAAAATTCTATTCGCCCAATCCCCTGCCCTGACGTAGTGCCAAAATACACATTTTCAAAGAAAAATCAATAGATCCCCGAAACATTTTCATTAAAAAAAAAAACCAAGGTCCTTAAACAAAATATCACGGCCGGAATGCGACCGTATGTATATGAGAGAGACCGGTCGGTATCAGAAAACCAGATCGATAGGGCATAAAAGGGATTGTGTAAAAGGAAATCTCACATAGCGAACTAGACGGAACAGAGCATTAGGAATTTATCACGTCATTTTGATTTTGATTAAGCAGGGTATTTTAATGCGTGTATCATTATATTCTTTTGGCTAAAATGATTAGATTACTTTCCATTCGAACGCCTTTTCTTCAATATACAGAGTGTCAAAGTTAACTTGGACTAGACCAATTAGAGCAACACGAATTAAAAAAAAAGAATATTTACAGAATTCGCTAGAGGTCAGCAAAAACACTGTCTTTCGGAATTCAAGCAGTATAATGAAGTCTTTCTCAGAATTAATCCTAAATTACGCATTGCTTTCCCAATGATAATAGCCTCTGAATGGGAAAAGTTTAGAAAAAAAAAGGTAGGGACATTTACCAACATATAACAAATACAACATGTTTATTAATATCTCCGCTCAATGTCAACAAATCTTTTCGAAATTTGGTGCCAGTTTATGGAATTAATTTGTTTCAAATTTTTATCTGAAACTTCTTTAACCAAACATTTTTATTTATCAGACAATAAGCCACAGTTTTTTAACCACTGAAGGGAGCAACGAAAATTTATGCTTCGCAATTTTGCTTTGAGATAAAAAATAAAAGCAGATAACGAAACCATTCTTTCTATACTTTTTTTGTATGGTCTGTTCATAAATATAAGAAAGTGACCAACTGCTTTTGAAGGGGATTATCCAAGGGTGGTCATTAACATACAAAGCAACAAGATTATTACTTAAAGTTTCGGAATTTAAATTCAGGTAAAATTGTGGTCAGTAATAGAAAATAATTTTATACCTAACTGTGTTTAATATTCTTTGGTTTGGTATACTATTTGGTTTAAGTTTATCAGTAATCATTCTTATTTCGTATGTAACACAACGTGTGCTGAATCGTGTGCGAATTATGCAAAATATGCGCGAGTCTAGTGTATCTCAGGAGATGCGCCCGCTCAAATGTAGAAAACACTATTCTATTGAGACTAAGGAGGTTATAAACATTGTTTATTTGACTCTCATTGAACGTGGTGCCAGCAAGCACGCATCTTTAGAAGAAACGGCCACATTGACGAAAATTCCAACATCAACTGCATTTCAGCGAGGAAAAAAAGAAGCGATGCTGACATTTTCTCGAGTGTAGATGAAAGTGATCAAGATATAATACGGCGTAAAATTTACCAGTTATACGAGGAACAAAGCGTGCCTACATTAGATGATATCTTAATTAGGAGGCTTGAAAAAGATGAAACACACATGGGTTTTAGATTTAAAAAAATTGACAAAAGGCAAGTTTTAAAGAAATCTTTTAGAATTCGGAAATGGTGACTGGAATATCTAGAAAAAATTAGGATTTACAGAGATCAACAAAGCCCAATTATTTACTTGGATGAAATTTGGTTCGACACTTATGATACCCCGGACTCAACTGATAAGTGTAAAACAAACATTCCTCCTAATAGTGTCATTGTAATGGATAATGCAAGTTATCACAGTAGACAGTTGACTAAAACCCCTTCCTCATGTGACACAGAAGCAACAATTCAAAACTACATATATAATAACGACATTTATTTTCATGAAGATTATACCAAAAAGCAATTAACTGAGGTTCCACAAAGCTTGAACAAAAGGAATACGTCTGTGATAATTATGCAAAAAACCTAGGCCATACAGTTTACCACTGTATATTTAATCCCATTGAACATGCCTGGCACCAACTGAAATCTGCCATTCATGGTAACAATGTTTTTTCCCGTGTTAAGTCCAATGTCCTCAAAATTTTAAGTAATTTAAGTAGGTAATAAAAATAATTAGTAATTTTATTTTAGATTCAAACATAAATACATACATAAATAAATAAATATTGTTTAGTATCTTTCCTAACCAAACCCCAAATAATTAAATTCTGAGCAAAGTACGGACCTGTTCGGCCATATTTCATTCTTACAGTTTGCCCGGGTCTTTCCTTAATTCGTATGAGTTAGTCATTTTCTTATAACTATGAATACACTTTACCTGCAGTGTCGTTCGCGAAGAACTTTTAATCTACCAATTTACCAATTTAAACAAAATCAGGAATAGAAAATTGTTAAAAAGCATAACAGTTTTCTAAAAAACGAGATTATGATCACGCTGTAGCAGTGCTGACCCAGTTTCAGATTTGGGCAATATTTTACTTCTAATATAGTTGTTTCACTCGATTACGCAATTGATTTGGACGCCGTATATATATATATATGTCGTATCGTTTTATAGCGGCGCGATAAACCGGTCGACATTGTCTGCTCGCACACGGTCGACTATTAAACAAATCTATAAACAGGCCAATAAACAATACTCACTTCAGGTTGGGCTTGGCCTTGTTTATGATCACCTCGCATACCGGACAGTAGCTGTTTTCTTCTAGGAACTTTATAATGCAACTGCGGCAGACTGAAACCGGGGAAACACGGGGTGAGAAAAAACACAATCAAAATTAATTTAAAAAAAAAAGACGAAAACACTAACTAACTAGTAGGTATTATGGACCATGGAAATTTAAAAATGTATTGTAATCCGTAGCTTGGCATCATCAGATCTATCGCAAATCCATACCTCAAATTTTATTATCCTAATAGAAAACTCACCAATATAAATTAGAAAACAAAGCGCACACATGAACAATACCTATGCAATCAGTTTTCTATATAGATAAGATTTAACGTCTGTATTTGGCATTTTTTTAGGTCTGATGGTGGCGTTTTAGATATCAGTTTTTAAATTTTTAAAATGAAATTATACTGTAAATTTCTTGTATTACCAGTATTTACAAACACCTTGACAACCGTTATAATATATTGTGTTTTATAGCGATATTGCTTACCAAACGAACAAAAAACATACATATCTTTATAAAAACTGGCGCACAAATGTCACATATCAATAGTACTATCCTAACCTCACTTTTCAGTCGTTGTTTATTTATTTGATTTTCGAACATTCTCAACAATTCTTATCTTGTGATACCTTAAAAACAACAATTATTAAACATTATATAATATAACCTCAAAATCCTAAATGGCTTTCTTATAAAACCATCAAAAACCATTACGAAAGTTGAATTTTCTTATAAAGGTTGTCCTTACAGGTTGCAATGGCAATAAAGAAATACACCTGTACCCTCCACCATTGACATTGGGGCATATTTGGGCCCTTTTTTAATCCACAACATAAGTGCGCCGTGTGCAGTATGTACCATTGTTAATACGAAAAAACTGCAAAAGTGTTACTGGTAAACGACACTTTTACCCTATATATATATATCGAATATTTTGACATAATTTAAGTCGAGATGCGACTCAGACTCATACCGTTTTAGATATAGGCCGTATCATTACCTTGACTGCTGAAATGGTGAATAAAAATGGGATATTGTTATCAATAATGTTGTTATCCGAACCCGTATATATAGAAACGTGGAAAGAGCCAAGTCAAACTACACAAACCTACGGTTCGGCTAAAAATAGCCCGAAATGCGAGTGTATGCGTGTGTGTAAACGGTTTAATTATACTCACACGAGTGTAAACATTCCGATATGGTGGTGGCGTCTATCAGATAACCCTTGCACAGATAGCACGACAAGTACCGGTTTATCTCGTTCAATTTTATCTTCTCCGGCCTCTTGACGGGAAGTTCCATGGTTGGGACGTCGAGGCTCCGCTGAAATGAAAACAAACGGATGCCGTTATAGAGTTTAATAAACAATGCGAGTTACGGAAAACAAAACGAAAAAAATTGATATCATCAATCTTCTAATAGTTATTATCAGATAACCGAGTAGTGTGTGTGTGTGTACGACGTCACCTGTCCTTTTCCTTTATTACGTCGGAGCAACCCCTTGTGATATCTAGCGTGTATACGGGGTTCAAGTTCGAAGGGGTGCAATTTACCTGATCCGAACGCATTAGATTTATATCTAGGGGAGTACGATGAACGGAACGGTTATTAGTCACGGCGACAACTTTGAAAAATACCCAAAGTTTTTCATTTCGATGAATTTTATGATACCACTAAAAGATACTAGGACATTAGAAATTTTAATGAATTGTAATATATAATTTACAAACGGCTTTCATTGAATCACAGGCACAGACCTGTACAGTTAACCATTACAGGTTTTCCATAGTGCGTGTGGGTATCATACAGTTAAAAATATATATGTACCTGCTCAATTAAATCTTGATAAAAGCACAATTTATAACTAGCTTTCTCGACTTTAATAAGTATTAAGCAAAAACCTTAGCATTTACCTTTCCAATAGTCTTCCTGAAGAAATGAAAAATGTCTAAACTCTAAATACATTTTAATACACGTAATTACAGAATATAAGAAGCCAGTCACCAATTCCAGAAATAAAAAAAAACTAGATATGATGGCGAGTCGTATCGACAGATGAAACGACGATGTCGAAAAAATGTTTTTACAGAAAACCAGGGAACGAGCCTAAGAAGTCAAATTCCATTAAATAACTAAATGCTTGAACTGAAGTGGCTTTTACTTGATGAACATCCATTTATCAAAATAAATAAGAACTAAAAGTTCAGATTTTCACAAAATTATATATTTTTACATGACAATTGTCTCTTTATCAAATGATACATTTCAAAATATATAATTTCGTGAAAATCTGAACTTTTAGTTCTTATTTATTTTAACTAAATACTTTCTCAAAATTGAACTTTTATTTGAGATTTAAGTCCTTTTATTCATATTTTTTTATTTTCAAAAAATATGTTTTTTTTATGAAATTCCATCTAGTGGCTAGCACGATTGCAATTTGATAGCCTACGAAAAGCCGTTTTCATAACGACTCCAAGTATATTAAATTAAATTCAGCTTTTTGCAATTATCGGCAAAGACGGAACAATGAGTATTAAACAGAAAGATTCGAATTTATCTCAGCTGTAAAACAGTAGTCGCACAACTGTATTTCGATTATAATTTTTTTTGCAAAAAATGGAGTTTTTGCCCAAGGAAAACTCTTTAAAGTTAAGTTTAATCATTACATCGTTAAGGAATTTTAGGAATACAAAAATTTCTTCAAGATTTTGATTGTACAGTATTACCCTAAAGCAAAATCCGCTACTGAATACAAATAAATTTGTCATGTCTGTTGTAAAACAGTTGTAAGAAATTTACATGTACAATCATGTCTTCAAAAAGCAAATATACATTAAAAAGTGAAATTTCAACATCTTCATGTCCAGAAACTTATGTTAGATAATGATCTAGTACCTTTCCACTTGAGTTACTCTGATACTGTAGTACTGTAAGAGTTACTGATGGCCTATAAAAGCTACAAAAATCGTTCATTACTTCGGAGCATATAAAGTCTGGGCACCGAAGCGCCAGTATGTAACGCCCGTATGTAACAAGTATTCCTGATTCGAATATATAAAAAGAGAATTGGGAGAGCTAAGGAGTTAGTAGCTGCTACCTTGTTTTCCTCTGGTAATTCAGAGCTCCATACCTCTGCAAAACGAAGAAGATACATCAAAGTAAGTGTTTTCTTTATCATTTGTTCGAGATTCATTCATTCCCCTTTGCTCGATGCCAAGGTAAGTAAGTATATGTGTAATGGTCCTGCAGATGTGATATTATGTGTTACCATCCAAGTACTGGACGTCTTTGCTGCGATTGAGTTTTCCTTGGATCATTCAATTCAGTCGTATCGTGTGCAGCACGCAGGAATCTTCAATATTCCTTGCAGAAACCCGCGGCCGGAATATTTGATCGACGATTATTCCTCGTCGCAAGCCCCTCTCCCCTCCGTCCCGGGTAATTACCCTCTCGCGTATCGGAGCTCCTTATCGCCTCTTACGCAAGCAATTTGTAAAACGGAAAGCCGGCGGGCCACATGCGGCCGCGATAAACCGAAGACAGAAGACGAAGGAAAGGATCGCAACGGCCGCAACTCTCTCGGAAAATTATCCAGCGAATTATCACGACGTGATTGGACTGCGAGAGCAGGTGACTGCATGGCCACACCCTTAAAATTCGTGTTATTAACGAAAGCGAGGCAGATTTCCCCTCGGCTTTTCCGGTCCGACGTTTCTCCTGCTAATTGAAATTTGATGCTTCGACTCGATCGCCTCTGCCAGATGGGCCTGTAAGCCCGTCTCGGTAAATAACAGCAAACAAAGACTGGCCTTGGAATACATCGAAATATAAATCGGACAATTTATAGTCTAAAATATACTCACACTATTTTTTTTACGAAATTTAACCACAAAGCAACTTATAAGGTGACCTCCAAAGACCGAAGAGAGTCCTTAGGAACATACTTGGCCTGAGAAAGAACGCGTCATGTAGACTTTAAGCGTAGATAGATAACTGTTGACTTTGGGCGGTATTCTTATTCTTGAACTTATAAGGTTGTTCGGAAAGTCATTTCGTTTTTTTCCGTCAGAGGACTTAATTACGTTTTTTCGAAACCAACGTCACACTTAAGCCGCACAACCATTATATGTCTTGAGAGCTGATATTGCAAGGCTTGTGTGTGAAAAAGTTCTATTAATTCTACGCAGTAGTTTTTGTTTGGTGCCCTTTTAACTATGGAGAGCAATAAGCAGCATTTTCGTCATATTTTACTTTTTTACTTCAGAAAAGGTAAAAATGCTGTCCAAGCGAGAAAAAAATTGACGGATGTGTATGGAGAAGGCGTGCACGCCAGTGCCAGAACTGGTTTGCAAAATTTCGATCCGGCAATTTTGATGTCGAAGATGCCCACGGTCTGGAAGGCCGGTCGAAGCTGACAAAGATGCGATAAAGGCATTAGTTGATGCAAATCGGCGTATAACCACACGAGAGATCGGTGAGAGATTAAATTTGTCGAATTCGACTGTTTATGGCCATTTGAAAGGCATGGGCTTAACCTCGAAGCTCGATGTGTGGGTGCCCCATGTCCTTACGGAGCGAAATTTGTGTCGTCGCGTTGACGTGTGTGATTCGCTCCTCAAACGTCAAGAAAATGATCCATTTTTGAAGCGGATTATTACTGGGGACGAAAAATGGGTTGTATACAACAATGTTAAACGCAAGAGGTCATGGAGCAGAAAAGATGAACCGGCTCAAAGCGTGTCAAAAGCCAACATTCACCAAAAAAAGGTGATGCTCTCCGTTTGGTGGGATGTCAAAGGAATCGTTTTTTTTTTAGCTTTTGCCAGACAATACAACGATTAATTCAGAAATCTATTGTCATCAACTGGACAAATTGAATGATTCACTTAAAGAGAAGAGGCCCGAATTAATCAACAGGAAGGGTGTAGTGTTCCACCAGGATAATGCGAGACCTCACACAAGTTTGGTCACTCGCCAAAAACTTTTACAGCTTCAATGGGACGTACTGCAACATCCACCATATTCTCCAGATCTGGCGCCTTCCGACTACTATTTGTTCCGGTCCCTGCAAAATTTTTTGGATGGCAAAACCTTTACCTCAAATGAAGATGTCAAAAACCGCCTGAACCAGTTTTTTGCCAGCAAGGACCAAAACTTTTATGAGAGGGGAATTATGTTACTGCCAGAAAGATGGCAAAAGGTGTTGGACCAGAATGGCCAATATATAATTTAATAAAATATTTATTCATTATACGAAAACTGTCTTTCATGTTCCCCAAAAAAAACGAAATGACTTTCCGAACAACCCAATAGTATTCACGTTTTTAAAAACACCGGATTATACTAAACGGTGTAATAATATATTTACTATTTTAACATCATTACATTTTTATGCCGATGATACAAATGTACTTATTATTTTTCTGAGAAATGCCGTAAAGAAGCAAGGAACAGTATTAATTTTAACCTGGATAGATTTTACGATTATGTCACTGAACATATGCTCGTACTTTATCCTAATAAATCCACAGATATTTGGAAATGGCAATCAAATGATATATCGTCGCAGTTTAATGATTTACTCAACAGCGTATTCATGTCTTGTCTAGATAATATAGAGAAGTATCGTATTCAAAATGTTCACAACTCCTGACTTAGACTGGAGTTAGATGTAGAACTTATGTTTAATCGATATAAACTTCACGCAAATTACATTTAAATCTCCGTACACCAGTTCTCCAGCAGTTTACAGCAGCAGAGCATTTAAAAAGGTCCTTCTCCTACCAAATTGTAAATATGATTAATAAATGTTTTTTATGTTTCCTTAATAGAAATTTCTGGAAAGTCGCCCCTCAAAAATACATTTCAAAATTGACTGGCGAAAATAAAAATAATTTTAATTCTAGTTCTAATCTCTATCTCGTGGAGGAGCGGGAGTGAGTTTTGAGAGTTTTATTTAGTGGTCATGTTATGTTTTATTACATTACGTGATTACACCAGGTTCCGAGTTGACCAAATAGTCTAAAACATTGCTTATGCTTATTTGGCATCTACCTACACAGGCACATTATAATACACAGCTTTACCTTATTCTATATGCCGTTCTACGCAGCTGTATCGCTATCTTGACGGAAATTAATTGTAATGGATATTACATTATGATTAGCGTCACAGGAATTTTTCCAAATATTTGGAAGCGTGTCATTAACACATTTTTTTAATTAAATTTAAAACAGTAGCACTTAAAGTGGAAGAAGAATTTTGTGAACTAATGCTTAATCTTAGTTAGTGCTACTATGGTGCTCAATAGAATCCCCTTT